CGCATCATGCTGTCATGGCTTTGGCCTGTCCAGGAACCCATCATTAGCTTTGAACTGGTGTACTGGGAAGCCAGCAATCCCACAGACAAGGTAAATACCACCTTAAAAATCTTTTCTTTCCACTGAGATGCTGCTTGTAAAATCTTTATTGGCTGTGAGCTACGCTGTGCTTCAGGCTGCGTATTTGCATTAATGTCTTTTTAGTAAGTTCAAAGTGTCGGCACTTTATTCAGGTTTGATAAATGTCATCACATCACGAACACTTCTTGCTGTGATTTATCCACGAGGAGATCTGGGTGATGTTATGCCACAGTCTCCATTAGAGCTGCGTGTCGTCACTGATTTCTACAATCGATTCGATTCTGATTCACAAGGTCCTGAATCGATTTGATCCCCGATTCGATTCGATTCGATTTTAATCTGGGAAATTTTGCATCAGTCAGAAATATTATAATTCAGATCATGCATCAGTACATTTCCATATTTTATATCTATAAAAAGAAAGCTGACACTTGCGAGACTTTATCAAAGCTGTAGCATCACAGCAGAGGCCTCTGTGTCAAAGTAACTGAGGATAAAACACAGAAACACATGAAGGGGATTTTCCTGGTCTGGGATTTATAAAAATATTCTGCAGTAGATCAAAAACATAAAAACCATCAATCAACACGTGAACATGACCTGATACTGCTGAAGGGAAGCAAAGTTACAGAGGCTTGATTAGAGACAAAAACAAGCGTTTTGTAATTTTGCATCATTTTAAAAAGTTTAAATTTGTTCAGTGTTGAACGGCAGAAATGAGGCTTTGTTTTCAGATGTAAGTAAAAGGAAAAAACAGCAGCTGACAGGCTGCAAACAACAGTAGAGTTGTGCGTAACAAGCAAGCGAATAATGCAGAAAACAGATTTTTAAGAAACTGTTCAGTACAGAGAGAGCTGTGCATGAAGTGTGATTTTATCCTGGTGGAAGCAAAACAGCAAAGCTACGAGTGAGTCCATGACGATGTTTATGTGAAGCTAGTTTGGATCTTCTGTTGCTGCTGGTTCGGTCAATATTGTTTGGAGAGAGATAAACTAACAGCTTCAGAATCAGTGAAAAAACGACGTGAACACAAAGCTCGACTCGCCGAAACATCAGAGTCAGCGAGCTGTCGGCTTTCAGCCCCGACCACGTCCGTGCCGTCGGTGAGAAAGTCACATCTCACTGATCCTGATCCGTCGGCGGGTCGAGCTTTGTGTTTACGTCTCTGTGCAGAAGCCGTGTCCCTGCTCTCTTTTTTATCTGTTTGGTGGTTGTTGAAGTTTTGTGAGGTTTAACCTGAGATTCTGGCGTTTAATAAAGGGTTTTAATGAATCGATATCACGTTATCCAAGCCAGAATCGATTTTAATCGATAAATCGATAATCAAAGCCCAGCCCTAACTCCATATTTTTGAAGCTACTGGAGGGTTTGCTGTAATTTTGATGTATGACAAAGAGCTTGGATGAGCTGATGGCTGCTGTGCATCAAGAACTACACTG